TGGTCTCTGATGTCAATTTCCTTATATAACGGTGTTGCATCAGAGGGGTACAGGTATTGGTTATGCGGGGCAAAGTACAATAACCAATACCTGTCCCCCTCTGATGGAGTGTACCCCTCAATGGACATGTAACAAACGAATAATACAGGTACAGAAAGGCATGTATACATTTTAACAAAGCAAACAAAAACTTCTGCTAGAGGTATCCTTTTTACCCAACCTTCATAATTGCTTTCACGGATTAATGTCTTTTATTTGGGTGAGTATCGCATATCATTTATTTTTAATTAAATCTTGTATCCTAATATGTGAACAAATAGTATTCGAACTTCTTTAATAAAGGACTTCTTACACAGATTAATAGAATTTTATATACCCATGAAGTCAAGACAAAGTAAAAGAAAAATCCTAATTTAGGGAAAACAATAAAACACCACATTCATTTCACTGCATTGACAATGTCAAGTTTTAGTGGATTGTATGACCAAATTTTTGGCGGCCCTGGCTTTGTCGAAGGCATGGCGCCTAGATCCAAGTGAGCGCCTGTAAGGTTCAAGATTCCCCGTGTCTCCAAAGACACTTATTTAACGTTTAAACCAACCCAAGATACCATCTTGCCGTAGGTTTTTTTATCTCCATCTCGTATCGTAGAATCAATATGAATTCTCCCACACGTGACTTAAACATCATCCATTTTTGTATATGATAAGACATATAAACACTCATGTGCTATAGTAGGGTTGTGTTAGTGGAGATTTAGTTGTTGTTCTTAAGTCACCTTAAAATATTAAATTTTTATTCTTAACTGTCAACTATCCATATATCAAACATCACATTAAATCGAAGTTCGAAGAGTACGTCTAGTCAGCAATTGTTACTTAAAATTACTATAGTAATATGTGTTCCATTACAGTTTGTCAGAGTATTGGCGCTAGTGTCAGCTGTCATTGCTATCACAGAGCTTGTTAATTAACAACGTCAAAGTTAAATCAGTTTTTAACCATTAATACTTGTGGTTTCTTCGATTTACCAATATTACTAGATTAACTAATTTACGACTATTCAATGGTCTATAATAATAATGATTCTATAGCATTATTATTGAAAGTGATTTATCAGAAACTTCAAACTTTTGAAACTTCAAGACTGACACTCGCACAGCCTACTCTTTAGGGCCAACAGCGAGATTCCGTTAAACAATGCGCCCCTTGGTTCGATTGAGTGGTCGAAACAAGCAGAAGCCAGAAGAAAAGTTGACTCTTATGTCAAAAGAATTTATGTTTAATCACGGTTTTGTTTGTTGTGCTTTTTTGTTATTGTGCCTAGTTTTCCTTCCACATCCACATTCTCTGTTTTACCCTCTTTTCCCGTTGATTGTCTTAGTTATCCATTCGTATTATCCCATCTCACTCCGTCAGATGATCTTGATCTCTAAGAACGTTTACACTCGTTTGAATGTATGTAAACATATTGTAAAAACAGATAAAATAAGAGTCAAATTTTAATCTAAGTACAGAATTTTTGAATTCCCCTTAAAAATCAGGCATTTTTCATACAAATCCAATCAGTTACGGTGATTTGGATCTTTCATTGAAGGAAATGGATTCATGTCAGGCGTAAATCTACACGGCTTTTCCGTATGTCATTATGATCTCAATTTATCCTTTTACCTTAATCCGATTACAAGGGTCCAAATGCAACCAAGGTGTCCAACTCTAAAGCATGAAAGAGCCTTTACACCTCCTCATAAAATAGTAATCTAAAAAGGGCTATAATTATGCCCTTTTTAGATTACTGACTGAAAGTATTCGTTAACAAGTTAAAATCTTGCAAAGATTAAAGAAAACTCACGTAAAAATAAACTCGAGGTAACGATAATATAGGTTTGCCATTTTTTTAATTTAGTTTAATATTTTTTTAACAAATAGTAACTATGTGTACGAATAGTTAAGTTTCTATACGAAATTAATGTTTAAAAATTCTACGTTAAAGTTACTTAGTGATGATACTATTACAGGACTACGCATATTTATTGTAATTAATTTTGTCTTGTGTTTACGAGAAAAAAACCACAGCAAGAAAGGCTGTACACAGTATCTAGTTGTTGTAATGATTGTTAAATGAACAAACATAAACAGTCTAATTATTCCAATTCAAAAATGACCGATGAAAAATGGCAAGGCATGTTAGATTTTGTTTGCTATAATTTTAGACTTGACAGCCAAAATACTTCTAAATTAGAATTTATTTTTAAACGTTACCCATTTATGTGTACGTAAGCATTTGTACTTAATACATATATTCCTTCTATATATCTAGATATTACAATATAAAGATATATGTTTGAAAAACTTCAAAAATACCGTATTGATATTTTGAACAAGTGCAGTGACCTGTGTTGGACAAGTGCAACTCCCAACTCTGAGGTCGTAGGTTCCAACCACGGATGTGCACTAGTGAATTTTTTCTTTACGTGCGCATTTAAAATTCACTTGTACGGTAAATAAAACATTGTGAAGAAATCGACAAGGCTCAGAAGGCTTATCACCTACTTTTCTATTCCAAAACGATCACAAAACAGACACACAAATCTGAGGCCCATACCTACAAAAGGTTATAGCGCCACCGTTTTCTTAATATATATATACATAATACAGTGAATCTATTTCGTTTTCTTGTTAAATATATTTTTTAAATAGTTGTATATGTTGTGTCATTCAACTGCTAAACAAATTTAAAAGTAACAATTTTAGCCTGCCCATAAACAAACTGATATTAAATCGACACACACTGTAGACTATTGCCAATCAAATGCTCTTAGTAAAAGTAAACATAAAAGTTGTTTCTATAAATATTTATGCAAGTAGGCGCCATAAACAGGATTTCTCCAATGCAGACGACTGTCACACAAGGGATTATCACATTTCTCGGCTTCTTTGCTTTGTATGTGTTTCATATAAAAGTTAATGTAGGTTTCAAGTCATTTGCGGAAAAATGTGAAATCTTTTACTTTCAAATATGGAATATTAAATACGCAAATAAAAGCTGTTTTAGCTTAGACTTAATGATGGGATGGTCAAACAAGGTTTAACTCCCGGCAGTACAGTGACGTTTGTTTCTCTTAACACTGGCACGGTATAGAAAAAATTGTAAAGCGTGAGTAATGTTGTAATGTAAATTTTAGGTAATAATTAGAAGCATAAACCAAATGTAAACAATCATCGTACACTTGAAGCCAATATTGAGCCCTTTAGTTTTTACCACACTTATAAATTGTATTTTAACATTCTCGTTTCCGATAATGTCCAATAACATAATGTTCATTTAGATTTATGAAGCGTCAGATAAGCCAAGCTTGTTTTTGTTAGCGTCGCAAACCCTTTGCGCCTAATTTTGTGTTCGTTATAAGCTCATATTTTAAACCATTAAAGTCAGTTGTTACCCAGCTTCAAACAAAGCGTTTTATTTAAACGTATCCATACAAAAAACCGCCACCGAACTTATTTTGTATCTTCAATAAAAAGGGTGCGCGTAAGAAGTTATAGGTACTTTGGCATTATTAAAAATAGTTTTTGATTGCAAGCAAATAATTAATTACAATTACATAACCAAAGACTGGAAAAGGAGTCATTATAGTCAATAAAGTTCAGTTTTCATTTGAAAAATTAAATAAATAAATATTTATTATTAAGTATTACATTAAGTGTAACATAAATTCTATTATTATTCGAATGTTGTTTTTAAATTATGTCCAATGCCGTTGCATCTTCCGTGGGCAACTTCATTCTGTTAATTTTGTGTAACGGTGCGCGCGCATCGTAAAACTTCACTCTCATCAATTTTTCATAACGCGCCTAAAGAAGTATAACTTCAAAAATTAATTGACTAACACAGTCACTAAAAGGTTTCGTCTATAAAGAAAAAATATAAATTAAACAAATGCACTAATTTGAGACGGTTATAGCACCCCATGATGTGTAGAATATAGGTTAGATATGGAGGTGCCGTATAAATATATAAGGGTATAAGTAAGTTTCAAGTATGTAGAAATAGACTGATTTTGCTTTGATAATGCACCCCAGAGGAACAACTTCACTTTAATGTCTCTAGACCTGGCATTAGAGCCAATATCAATCGAATCACAGACCATATATAACTTCTACCAATCAATAAAAACACCGCGCACCTATATTGATACTATAAATGGCTACAGTACAAAATATGTGAATAATTAAATAAATCGATAATATTTGAGCGTCGTAACCGTAGTGTAAATTTAAAGGGAAAACTCATTTGTATAGAAATTCTAAGAAAACTTGTAAGTTAGTTATTACTGCCTCGAGTATTTGAAGCGAGGCCATTCAGAAGTTGCTAAGGCTTTTCAAGAATGTTGCAAGCCGTTTGAAGTGTGACTATTATTATGCAAGGTCGATGTGAACATTCAAAGGTCTAAGGATCAAAGTAAATTGTAAAAGACATACTCTAGCTTACAATATCCTTACTGTTCAAAGCAATATATTGAAAATAGAATATAAACGTAATAGTTATAGCGTAAATAGTTTGTGCGGTTCAAGGAATAATTAACTGATTTTAATTTATTATGAAAGAGATAAAATTTGAAATTTTGTAACAAATTTTTAGAAGCTAGCAAAAGTTTAAGCCTGTTCTCATGAGTCCTACGTTGTGCGACTGTGCACAAATGGACCATTTCATTGAGAGTACCATAAAAAAACATCGTGAGGAAACCGACACGTCTTAGACCCAAGAACAGATGATGAGTCTGGAGCAGTAAGCTGATGTATTTGATGATCAATGGAATAGGCGATATTATATCTGCCCCTCCTAGGGAGCTTATCAAACAAGACAAATTACCTTACAAACTACAACTATCTTACAAATCAATCGTTTTATTTTATTTATGCTAGTATTTATTGCATTAATAAGTTTTACTTGTTCCAGATTATGAGGCTCCGAATGGGGCTCAGCCTCGGACAGGCGCTATGTGGAGTGTCGGTGTGTTCATTCTCTCGCAGATAGTCGTCTGCCAATTCACAATAGGTACAATAACTTCTCAACGTTTAGAAATGTTTTATTTGGTATTAGTTCGTTATCATCACGCATAACCTCATATTGCCCTATGGCAATCATTAGGCTCATATTGCCATAGATTGCCATAGATTGCCATTGATTGCCATTGATTGCCATATATACCTTTACATTTACATTTTAGACTTCATTCTATCTTATGTTCTTTGTATTAAAAAGATTTGAAAAATATAATTCACAATTATGTTTGTTCACAATTACGTGATTTTTTGCTTCAACTAACGGCAAACTATTCACCAAGACCTCTCTTTCCAGATAACATTACCAACGAAGACACAACTGTTACGCCTTACTACGCTCTAAGCACCGGCATCGCTCCCGCCCCGATCATGTTACGTCTCGGCAATTCCACCATAGACAGCACAAAGTCTTTCAAAGTGCCGCAACCGACCGTCGACATACATGAACCACAAATAGTCGAACAGGTTGTACCACAAGTTGTCCAACATGTTGCACCGCAAGTTGTACCACATGTGGTCTCAGTTAAGTCCTACTTCGATCACGATAGGAAGTATGGCCCGACGTTTGAGGACGTCCCAGTTGGTAATGTGACTAAAATTACCGTTCAGCTCGGCGAAGACGCGCATTTGAATTGCAGGATTAGTCTTCTTCAAGATAAAACGGTGAGTGAATACAAATCGGAATAAAAATGGTTCGCGAAAACATTACACTTGTAAGCCGGTTCTAACATAAAAGAAGATTTTTTTTACCAACTTATAGTGACGGTTGAGAAATGAATACCAATATATTGGCAGATTAATAAAGGTATTTCTCTTGATAATAAATCTTAAGTACCTTTAAGAACCTTAATATCTTATAAGCATCATACATAAGTCAATTCAAGAACCTTTACACATTTAAAGAAAAAAACTTTTTACCGGATTAAAGTTATGTATTATTATAAATTTACAATTATTTAACATAATTTTCTAATCTCAATCTAATCTACAGCTGTGATACTTTTTGACATCCAACACCTTTTGTCTTCAGTCACCGTGACCACGCATGCTGTAAAGCACGCGAAACGTCGGATAAATTTAAAATTATGTTAAATAATTGTAAATTTATAATAATACATAACTTTAATCCGGTAAAAAGTTTTTTTCTTTCAATTCAAGAATTCAATTTTGATTAATAATAATGGATTTGTTTAAATTAAAGGCTGTTGTTGTTTTCACTAGTGTTCATTTTCAAATTATTGATTCCATGTATTAAAAGTCAGTTACTCCATATTCCTAAATCCAAGTTATCCCTATTAAAGTTTAAATGTCGCATAAATTTGAGTTCAAAACTCATAACGGAAACCTTTCGATCCATTACGAGATTATGATTAAAACAATTTACAGTCTGAAATGTCACAAGATTAATTTCTTATCCGTAAAATTGAACAAGCTTTGCCGAGATTATCCGTAGATTTACGCGGAACCGTATTTTGTGTACAAGACAAGATAAGGCCCTTTATTAATTTTTACCGTCCCCGTAGTAAGGGGCTTAAATTCGAGCCACAAGTTACGTAACTTTTGAGTACCTGCCGTTTACTTTCCTTAGATTAGAACAACCAGATTGACGGTTTTGCAATTCATCTGATGGCCATTTATCTTACAGAGCTTACTGCGGAGTTGTGTAATCAAGTTTTGACAGCAGCTATTAAAACACGACCTAGGAAATATTTTCACTATGAATGTAGGAACGAGTCTATATAGGATATACACATATTTGTATTGATTATTCTACGGGTCCAAATCTATTATATTTTGTTTCGGCCTCAGCTTTCTGTATATGTTCCGAATTCAACTGCGTTTTCTATTAGGCAAGTAGGTGATCAAACTTCTGTTCCATCACCGTACAAGCTAGTGTTAAATACGCACATAGAAAGTCCACTAGTGAACAGCCGGGATCGAACTTACGACCTCAGGGATGACAATAGGTTAGGTTTAAAGACATTTATTTTCTCATTACAGACAATGGTCACTTACATGAGACTTATAGACTAAAAATACAATTTATCACGTCGTGTTTAAGCGTCAAGGATCAATCATCGAAGTATAATTTGGGTGGACTGTCATTTGCGTAGGTAATTAGGATCACTCAGAAGATGGTCTTTTAGTTTAAGTTTGAATATCGCCAGGCTGTCTGCACTTTTTATATTTTGTGGTAGTCTATTGTAACGCAACACTCCCCCAACGCTCAATGTTTTTCTACCGTTATTAGTTCTAAACTTCGGTATAACAAGATTGTGAGGGCGTCGTGAAGTGCGCTTCTGAATTTGGCTTATTTTAGTAAAGGTAATGTTAGTATGTATGTGGTCGTTTAGAATTTTGTATATTAGTAAGCTGGTGTTATATTGGAATAATTGTTTAATATTCATGAGTTTTGTTTCACTGTAAATTTTTTGTGTAGAAGTTAAGTATGGGTAATGAAAAAGCAATTTAATTACTTTATTTTGAGCAATTTGAAGGTGAGAAATATTAGTTTTAGTCGCGGCTCCCCAAATTTCAATAAGGTAAAGAAGGTGTGATTTTGCCAAAGAATTATAAATATGAAGACGAACTTCACGAGGAAGGCTTCGAACTATGTGTCTAAGGGAACCTCTTAAAGAAGATAATTTAGTTATTAAATGATTTATGTGCGTTGTCCATGTTAAGTTATTGTCAATATATAATCCAAGATATTTTTCACTTTTCTTTTCAATTAGTGGTACATTATTTATTGTTATAGGCGAATGTGGTGGGATTTTAACATTTTTAGGTTTAAAAATTAAGTACGATGTTTTAGCAGTGTTGATAGTTAGCAATTTCGATTGAAACCACAAGTAAAGATAGTCAAGGTCCTTTTGCACTCGAGAAATTATATCATGCACAGATGAACCAGTGTATAGGAGACAGGTATCATCCGCATACAAGGTTATCTGTCCATGCAAGTTAAGGTGTTGTATGTCATTTAAATAAATTAAAAACAATAATGGGCCCAATATTGATCCCTGTGGTACTCCACAAGAGATAGGTAAGAGTTTACTTTGACAATCATTAATTTTAACTACTTGGGATCTATTGTTTAAATATGATTTGAACATTTTTAAGTTGTTGAAGCATCTGTGCCAATTCTGCTCATTATTTTATGCCTACATTCATTTTAAATCTATAAATGTTCCACGGTCACATCCATTTCGCTTTACTTTTAATATGCATCGTAAACTAAAAATATTAATATAAACATAGAAATAACGTCAGTCCATCGATATGGACATGGTCATTAGTGGGCTTAGCAGCGGATAGACACAAATATGTGTATGTAATGTGGGTAAGATGCGAGCAAAACAGACACGAATAATACAGTACAGTATTTAATTAAGATTGATTCCTTTTATCATTACACTTTTAGCTTAAATTATAACGAGCAACGGATTCAAGGCCGATCTCACATTTATTCACAATCTTTTCAACTATAAATCACATAGACCCAACTCCGTTCAACATCTCATCACCACAATCTCCACAGAATACTCAATCAGAACTACCCTACGTTCCCTGAACGCACTGTCCAAAGTCAAATGGCGCTTCAACCCTACTCGAGGCAAATGCTCAGTTCTGATTGGTCGTAACAATATTCGTAATTTTATTCATTAAGTTATGATTCTAAACAGCTGCGTAACAATTACATAATAATAAAATAAATCTAATCATATTGAATTATGATTCTTTAAAGTAAGTATTCTCAATGATTAACCAAAATCATTAGAATCAGAACAATACATGATAATCCGAGCATACATGACTATTTATTGGTCATTTACTTTTACCATTTATAGTTGTATCCTCAATCTAAGTTACCTTCATCTTAAGCAACGAACTATCTTTAACAAAATTCTACGAAGCACAAAGTTCCTACAATTTTCCTTTACACCTCAACTTTTACCTGTCAATAGTAGACACTATGCAATATGCTTTGTTTTATTTGACTCTAATTACACTAATAACCAACCTTATAAACGCTTGAGGCCAATTACAAAAGATATAACAAATACAAAATTATCCCCTTAATCCTTCTTGTTCGACCAGAAATTGGGTTGGGGTAATTTAATTAAGCAATTTGGAAAGTATAAAATGATGGGGATTCACAAAAGAGACACACCATCAACCTTTCTCTTGTTTTGCAAGTATTTACTTTTTTTAGGTCAAGCTCTTGTTGTGTCTAGAGTAGTGTTGGCATAGTGGCTTTTCCGTGCGACTCTAGTCCCTGAGATCGTAGGTTCGATGCCCGGCTGTACCAATGGATTTTCTGTTAAAAAACCTATTACGGTGTGGACCTGTGCATTTCTGTATGTTTCGTTATCTTTTGTTTTTACTAATAGTTGATCGACTTTATCTGCCTGACATACGTCTAAGACATGCATGCTCATGATTTTTTCCTTCACCGGACAAGTAAGTGTTAAGTGCGCACAAGAATCTGTAACAAAAAGAAAAATCCATTTGTGCAATAGTTGAATCAAGAAAGTCGAACGCCTAAACCACTAAGCCAACCCTGCTCGAATAAATACCCTATGACATTCAATTAACCTTAAAGCTAAAATAATATCCCCTGCTTAAAATGCGGCAGCAAAAAATGCTCCATAATAAACGACATGTCGTCGTTCTTGACATCAATTTCCTAGTTCTCGTAAAGAGAGATCGATTCTCTTTACATCGCCGATAATGCTGAAGATAAGTGCTCAAGCTTACCGACGCAAAAAGATTCTAATCTGCCATAGGATAGACGTATGCTACAGAGCAAAATAGAAGCAAAACTTACAGAATGCCAATATGAGCGTAAGTTAGTATATACAATTTTGAAATCGTCAAAGAACAAAAAGTTTTTCTATATTTGCTTCATTCGCTGGTCTGCACAGACCAACGAATTAATTATTATTACTTTTTATTCACATTATCCTATTCAAATTACAAAACCACGTTTTAGAGTTCAATATCAACACCTAAAGAATATATTTATGCTCATTAAAGATTGTAGTCAGACGAATTCAGGCCTACGTTTTATTATGTATTATTTCGTTGAGGCAATTACCTTAATAGCCTCGAACTTAACATGGATCCCTCGCGGCCAATTACAAAGGATTTTGTTAAATATTCGCTTTTGCTGATAAGATGTTATTTAAGACAATACGGCTTCCTCGCCAGGCGAATGCGACTGAATTATTCGTCGGATTTATCGCGAAGAAAGAAAACGCCTAACGTTTTATGGTTGAGGCTACTCTGTTTTTGTACTTGTAGGCATCGGATAAGGATATTATTATACTGAAAGTATAAATGGGAATGTTTGTGGATTTTTTATGCGTATTATCATGTTATGTCTGCATTATGCCAGGTTTTATGGGCTTTTTGATTAAACACCATGTATAATAAAATTTAGTTTTAAAGATAACCGGTTAGTATTGTCTTTTATTGACACAACTTTCACACATTTGATAATAAAACTTTTTTTTACCGGATTGAAGTTATGTAATATAATAATTTTAAAATTTAAAATTATGAAAAATAATTGTAAATAACTTCATCCGGTAAAAAATTATTTTATTATCAGATAACCGGTTGTTAACGGAAGAAAATACGTTTTATTTTCAATAAATCTATGTTCAAAAACTTATTATACATAAAGTTATCTAAAATGATAGACACTTAGAAATTGTTTGTAAATAGATGGAAAACATCCTTTTTTGGTTTATAAAACTATAAATGATGTATTAACTTCCTGATTGGAACAATTTCCACAACGTATCACGTGCACTTGATACAAAAATAATAAAGTCAATATAGTATACCATACTTTTTTGTTTCGGATATTTTATTTTTGGGGAAACCTTTAGACTATATAACACCGTACTCCCACAATTACCGCATGTAAAACCGATACAGCTAGCAATAAAAATCATCAAATCTTTTTGTATAATTATTATTGAAAATCACTCAAATATAAATAACATAGCGTTTGACTTACAGTTGGCCAATTATGTACTGAAATTCTTGTGGGGGGTGGTGTGCAACCCAAGTGTACTCCAAGAACTCGGTGTCTTTGTTCCTAGGGGATATGTGCAACGGCGAAAACCAAGGTTGTTTGCCAAGGGCCAGAACCAGTCTGTTGCACAGATCCCCGTTAACGAAGACGTTGCGCCTACTGAATGCTGTCTCCGACACTATCTACATATTTATATGTTCGCAGTGTGGATTCAAAGTAGCGATATGTGTTTAAAATTATATTTTGTTTTATTTTTTCTCGACAATATCGTATTGGTATAGTCTGTAAGCATAATTATATGTATTTCTGTAAGTAAATAAATAAACATCTTAACAGCAAAAGCGAATATTTAACAAAATCCTTTGTAATTGGCCGCGAGGGATCCATGTTAAGTTCGTGGCCATTAAGGTGATTACCTCAACAAAATAATCCATAGTACAACGTAGGCCTAAATTCGTCTGACTACAATCCTTAATGAGCATAATTATATTCTTTAAGGGTTGATATTGTATCAATGGCATGTTTTTAAAATTGGAATTGGATATAGTGTAAACTTTTTGGTAATAACATACCTCTCAAATAATTAGCGGAACATTAAATGATGATAAAGTTTTTGTTTCAACATTTCTACTCCGTACACTACAGCGCAATAACAATTTAACTTCGCTAGTTAAAATCTAGCTTGTAGCCACTTACAATGTTCGTAGCAAAAAAGCACAGGGCTACGATAAACTGAGCTTTTCTACATTGCTTGAATTTTCAGTAGATTTGTGAAGTTATTGCGATTTTTATTTTTTTTCTAATACTAGGTTTATGCTGATTTCTTATTGTATATTACAGATAATAAGTATAACAGATAATAATAAGTACAAACAACAACGTTAAAAATAATATTGCAACGCCCCACGGTTTATGGAACCAGCTGCCGTTCCAGACTGACTTAGGGGTCTCCAAGAAAAGAACTACATTCCTAACGGCCGATAAAGTACTTGTAATCACCCTGTGATCTTAATTCCAAGTGACTTGCCCCATGTCTCGTAAAACCTATTTATTTTTTTTGGAATGGAATGTCAACTGCTTTCATAGAGTGCGCGCGGCAAAAAGTGTCAAAAATAGCAATCAACACTGTCGTCTTATTGTTATTTGATACCTTCAAATATAAATGGACTATTAAATTTGCTCTAACGTATCTATTTAATTAACCATTTCAATTATTAACACTATATTATAATAATTAAGGCTTTTTGCTTTTCACAGCCCTGAAACAGATACAACTTCCTAGAATTTTAAATTAGAGAATTATTAAGCGAAATCAATTTATATTTAAGTCTAGCTGTTGATTGATCTATGGGTCAGTAGGTGACGAATTAGGTTACATTATCCTTGAATAACATAGGCTAAATTTCTTGCCAAAATATCAAATAATACGCGTCCAGATTTGAAAGGACATGCCATTAGTTAAAGGTATTATTTTGACAGTATAAAGCTACCGCAAACCACTTCATTTTCTGAATCGAAATTTATGCTTCAATTTAATTTGTACTGCTCGTACTGGTAATAATACAATTGTTAACTTAACATTTCCTAGTGTTAAGGATACTGCAAATTTGCTGAGTCAAAAACACGAAACCCGCTACAATGTTTACAAGAGGCAATGCAATTTGTACGGTTCTGAGTGCGCCTTGTTTTGGAATAGCTATTTCTTTTATTAAATTTTACGGTTTATTTTTAATTGATTATATAAAAACGAAACAACTCTTGTTCTTCGCTTTAGATTTTCATATCAGTTTGATTAAAAGGAAATAGTTCATCAGCCATACATAGGTCTATTTGAAAATTCAACTGGAGCTCAATCACATGAGGGTTGAGAGCCGAGTGGCAAGCTACCAAGCTAACCTCACTTCATTGCATCGGCTACAAACTAGTAAATTGGCTATTCTATGAATCAACAATAATAAATATGCATGAAGTAGAAATCGCATATGTATTTCCGATTGAAGTTGTATTTGCGCACACATTAATTCAGTTCAATGAGATTCTATATTCAAAAACTCACTCACCCACTGTCATTCAAAGTGTCCATGGGCGGTGGTATCACTTAATATTAGATGAGCCTCCTTCCAGTTTGCCCCCTGTTCTAAAAAAATCTAGTTAGAGGCATAAGACAATAATTAAAGCGAAGGTGTCACAAGTACAGTAGGTAATATGTAAGTAGGTGATCAGGTGATCACATAGTCCATTGGTGCACAGATAGGGTTGGAAGCTACGACCTCAGGGACCTCCCACTAGACCAACACCACTCTTCCAGATGGTATGCGTAATTAAAATAATAAAAAATTAAAAACATACGCGTATTTCTTCTTTTTTTAGGTTTTTTGAAGTCAAAACATACAACAATATACATAATAATATTTGTTTAATCCTCTATCTTTAAAAGGTATCCTGGGTTCGTCGAAGGGGTAAAGAAGAGATTCCAGAATTGCTCACAGTTGGTGCTGTGACATATGCAGCCGATAATCGAGTAACGGTGGCCAGGAGGTACCCTGGAAATTGGAAACTTCTCGTCAGGGAGGTGAAGCCAGAAGACGAAGGAGTGTACGAGTGCCAGATATCTACACATCCGCCGAGAGTCAGTCGGACATATCTACATATAAATAGTAAGATTATCTGATGCTCAAATATTATATAAACGTAATCCCAAAACTAATTAGTTGATAAATTTAAATAGTATGGATCATGTGAATAAAATAAATCTTATTTTATTTTTAAGGTTACCAATTTTATACTTCCTTTGTTTTGTTCTTTTTAATCATCATCATCTTCAATGCCCATGTAAGGGTATGATTACTGCCAAGTTCCAATGTTCTGGCACAGTCTCAGCAATCCACACCCTTTATATAAGCGTGAGCTGGCCACGAATAAGGTTCGGGCCAACCTATTTTAAGAGTTCCCACGGTATCCCTTTTAATATTAATAGTCCTTTTTAATATTAATGCCCAATATGTAAATGGATTAAAAATGACAGCCTAAAGAATATTATTTTTAATTTAAGTAATGTACTGAGTGATGACTCTGAGTATATTGATACAATACGTTGAAAGTGTAGATTGCTTTTAGATAAAGTGCCTAAGTAAAATTTGGTTATACATATTAATAAATATTTAATATAGATTACGTCTTGATAATTATATAATAAAAGACGTTTACCTTTAAAATGCCCAGCGCACAGCCTGCGATTAACAATTATATTAATATTACCTAGCTCCTCAAGTCTGGGTAGTTGACGAGGCTGGAGCACCGCTCCTGGAAAAGTATTATGAAGCGGAGTCAACCCTGGCGCTGGTCTGTCGAGCTCGCTACGTCGACACACCAGCTGTCCTCACATGGCTGCACGAGGGAAAAGCTCTGAATTCTGACACATCGAGAGGTGGAATCAGGTTTGTTTCTTAAGCTTTTAAATTATTAATCCAATAATGCATCATTATTGAAGTATTGGAACCTGCTACTTTGCTTAAAGTTCTTAGTTCCTTATGTTCTTAATATCTTCCTTTTTTGTGGAACTTTCACATATCACACATAAACAACAAACTAAAATCACTTATAGGCTGATTTGGGTCAATATCAAAATGCATTCCGCAATCTGTATGTCATTTAATTTACAATTGTTTAGTCAAGCCGCACAAATCAAAAGCGTCAAATTAATAAAAGCACTATTTAGATACAACTTTTTAACACAGACTAATAAAATCTACCAAGAAACAAAAAAATATGACGATTAAACAACTGTATTATAGTATATATATCTATAATAAATTACCGTCTAAAATTCGTAATATTAGCGTGTTTAACCCTTAATTTGGCGGAGATCCGAGTTGCTTTATTTTATGAAATAAGATGTATATCTGAAATCCTAGGGTTAAATACAACTTAGGAAAAATAGACAAAAAAATATTTTCCTTTCAGATTTTCAGGAAATCAACGTTCATCACAGTGAACACTGCGAAATATGTTGAGGATAACAAGTAATTTGTAATGTTCACTGTGGTAAACGTTGTCAAATTAGTGTCATATAAACAGGTAAATTAAAAACATTATACATATCATTAAATCAACTTATTTATTATGAAAATGTAAAAAACAATTGCGAGGATTTTTTCCCGTAACAAAACAAAGTCTCACATTGCATTTTATACAATATACAGTTGTGTTTTTCTGGCAAAACTTGCATCGCCCCATGTCTTCTTTTGTGCTGGGAAAATGTCCTGTATTATCGAATCTGATGGGGCTTGTAGGCCTGGCTGATCTTGGGTTTATAATTTTACATTCTTGTATATTTTCACGAGGTATAGTTCTATTTTTCTTTGTTAAACTTAAGTAAATTTCATATCGGAAAACTTTCAATGACTTTGATTTTCGTTGACTTCCCTGACAGTTACGTTTATACAATAGCCATGCATTATTTATACACACATCTAGAAGTTGGCTAAATATTCCTATGTACCACCTTCTAGTTTTGAATGGAACTTTATATAGTGATATCAGCATATCAGCCAGGTCTACACCCCCCCATATGTTTATTATACTCGCGAACTATTTGCGGACAATCCACTTCTATTTTTTGTTTCTGTTCTTTGCAATACCTTTTTATTTTTTGTATTGGTTCAGATCCAATAAATGAGCTTATAAGAGTACAGGTTTATTATCATTCCAGCGCTCCCCTCTGTTTTTTCTTCATCACCTTTTCATCCGGTAGCAACTTTTCAGCTCCTCTAATCCAGTTGCTTCGTATTGTACCAAGACCAAAGACACCGTAGTTTTCTTTCAGTAGGTAAAAAAGCTCTGGCGATGAGAAAAAATTAAAGAAAAACCAAAAGAAGCCCACCACACAAAGCACATTATTTGTAAATAAAAGTTATCCCTAATTTGGCAATGTTCATCACAATAAACATATCAAATTGACAGTACTTATTCGAGTATTTGGCAGTGTTCACTGTGATGAACAACCAAGTTTGCCTCCAAATAAAAGTTACCAAAAACACAAAACACTACGTAAAACCCATTCCAAACCAAAGCATAAGTATTGTTTAGCAAATATAAACCATAAAAAGTTAGTTTAGTCAAATATAACATAATTTAAAAAAATATTTACCTTGCGAAGAATCGAGTGCCCGCGTCTCGCTGACATCTTGTCTCGATAATGACAGATAAACGATGATGCCATTTGTAGAATTATTTTTTGTACCGATAAATACAAATTAAACTTGCTATAACTAAAATAAAAACCGAAAAATAGTAGAAAATAGTCGCTCAATATTTATTTTTCATGAGTGTTTATCACAGTGAACATAATCAAATTAAGGGTTAACAAATTTAAAAAGGCATTACATTTCAGGTTGAGCCTAGTAGACTAAAAGTATCGCGTATCTCGTTCGTATATATTAAGGTTCTCTGGTATTTTTTTTTTTGTAATGAGAAATAAGTTCTATAAACATTAATAGCGATTATTATTCAAAGTGTGCATCACCACTATTAATGGATATTAAACAAATATATCGAATAGGATTTTGTCCTTAAGTGACTAAGTTTGTTTTAGGGACTGCCAGGCAATTATTAACCAAAGGTTAAATCAATCTTGGATATCGATATTGCATTTACATAAAAGGAATTATTAAAACAATATTCATTAAAAGCAAACAGAAATCTTTGGACTATAACAGCATGTTCAAAACGCAAACTGAACTGGATGATAAGATTACCAATTCGATATCGAAATTCAGAATTAGTGTCTAATAATGTCGCGTATATATCAAATAGTTTCAGCGGAATACCATTAATTAAATTAATTGCAAAATCGTTCATACATATATAGATATACGTAGGTACGCATCGGTACAATGAACAGCGACATTCGTTGTTTGTTTTTAATGGCGACTAATGACTTTAATTGAAATACTCCTCTAAAATTCTATAGAGTTAGAAAGTCTGTTCTTCTTCCTGCTACATTTAGAATGACATCTACATTATTATTTTATTATATAATGTCATTAGTATAATAAGTTCTGTAATGTAATCTGTGAATGCATCAAATCTTATGCGCATATTAATGTAACAGTGGCTAAAACGCAATACAATGAAAAATCTCACAGTTTGGAAAATAAATCGCGACCATAAGAAACGTTGTCGAGAACATAAAGCTTGGTAAAAAGCTAAACCGTGTCTTTCGAAAGCTGATCAACAAAGGGATTTTTTAGCTTCTTGAATATTCCGTTGCGGCTATAAATCAATAAATTTAGTTCATACCGAAGTGTTATGTTGTGTATGTATTGTAACGGTGTTAAGTGCGACCTCATTTGAAATGTTTAAGTTGTGTGCGTGTTTTAAAATATTACAACTACAGTGGTTATTGTAACGGTGTTAGGCTGTAGCCTAATTGGACAATTTAGTAGTTACCTAAATATGTTTGAAACGTACTAATAGGACATGCGGGATATTAAAGATCAAGTTTTTGAATTTATAGTTCTTTTTGCGCGTTAGTTTATTTAAATTTTTACGATACGCGCGCACACCGTCACAAGTAACCGACACCCGCAAGAAGCCACAAAAAAGCGACACCCTGAATATCTGTTCAAACGTCGGTCAAACAGCCGGGGCCGCTAGTTGACGCTTGCTCTGATTTGTCGACAAGTTGCATTATCTGTCATGGCGTAGTGTTTTTCAGAGTTGTGTTTATTTAAACCAAAATAATGATTTCTATACGCGAAAACCTGTTCTAACTTGATAAAAACATAGTGTTTATTGTAAAATACTATGATTAGTACATATTATATCGTTTCGATGAGAAGTGACCATTAAAATGGACAAGAAAATTTAATTCGAAGCGGGAAACGTCCCTCTAAAGTGCTCGAAGAAAATTATTACCCTCAAGAAGTATAACTTCTAACGCATGCACATAAGTACACACACTTTTTTATATTATTTTCATTTCTTGATTAACTATTTTTTTGTTAAGAAGTTTATAAGTTAGCTAAGAAGTTTTGGATAGCCGCACAATATTGTACAATGACATTATTTTTATTTAATTGTAAAAACAGTATAATTGTACTTATTTAACAAAAGTACTCTTTTGTCTCTCTATCATAATGTCATAAAAAGAGGCAAATCAGTACTTTAGATAAAACTGTTAATACACCGATTCCTTTTTAATCAAAGTTTCTTTTTTTCTAATCATGATTTTTGGCAATGTGCCATTGCTAAGCTTTCTTCCAGAAGACGCCAAACCTCGCTTATTCACAAATTGACCGAATTTATCTTGAAAATAAATAAATTTCATTCGATTTATTAAACATTTAAATTAATAACATTCTTAATATTATTAAATCCTATCAAATTAAAATTAAGGCACAATAACAGGAAATTAAACGTAATGCGTTTCGTATGCTAAATTAATATTTTAAGAATCCTATTAAGCCAAAAGCCGTCTCTAGAGAAATCAAGCTTTTATGTTTTTACTAAATAAATTGTTAATACTTTGTCGAGATTTCCTGAATCCATTTGCTACGAAATTTCGCTTTTACACTGTCTCATTTTAGATTTTAATGTGAAGTCTTGGTTAACTGGTTCTGATGAACTTTACTTAAGTTTAATAATAATAATAATCAGTGGCGCTACAACCTCTTTAGGTCTGGGCCTCAGATTTCTGAATCTGTTTCATGATCATTTTTAAATCTAATACGCAAGTAGGTGATCAGTCTCCAGTGCCTGACGCGCGCCGTCGACTTTTTTTTTGGGTCTTAGACATGTCGGTTTCCTCACGATGTTTTCCTTCACCGTTCGAGCGAATGTTAAATGCGCACATAGAAATTCCATTGGTGCACAACCGGGGATCGAACCCACGACCTCAGGGATGAGAGTCGCATGCTGTAGCCACTAGGCCAACACTGATCCCACTTTAGTGAAGTTTACTTTAAAGAATATGCCATTGAAAAAACAAGCTTGTCTCAAGCAAATGTAGACGTAAGTACTAGAATAGTTTAAGTTATAATACAATTATTGAATGCAATTTAACTTACGTAAGGAAAAGTTACGAACAATAAGGTTTGTGATTGTCGCGGAAATGTGTTGCTGTGTAGGGATTGGCTCTCCTTAGATAGATAATTAAAATGAAAAAGTTAAAAAAAGCGTGATTGTTAATAGAAGTAAATTATAAGTATATTTAAGATAATTGTATATGATTTACCGTCACATATATCAAGAAAGTGGGTTAAGTCATAGTACAAAAGTAGGAATTTAGTAAATTTTTAAAATAAATCGGAAATCCAACCGTACGTTTCGTTCGTTAAATTACTCACTTTTCAACGAACGCTAAGCAAATAAAGTTACTATTTGTCTTCGACTCTCTTTGTTTACAAGGGTCTTAAGGGAATCCACCGTTGGTATTCAGTATTAGTGTCGTCATATTTGTTGATATAATTGTTATAAACTTAATCAAATAGCTGATTCTTGTATATATCTTTTGGAATTTTATTTTTTTTAAAGACATACCAATTGACCTCCCATGAAGCGGTGTTTTTATGGGTACTAGGCAACGGATATACATACATATTATAGATAGATATAAATAAAAACACATTTTAAACCCCCCAACCCCCAAAACCCCCCCCCCCCCTCCCCCCCCCTTGGTTTTCCCCCCCCGGGGGGGGCCCCGGGGCCGGGGGGGTTGCGGGGGGGGGGTCCCCCCCCCCCCCCCATTTGTTGTTTTTTTATTTTATTAGAATACTTATTAATTTATCTCTATTAATTATGAGTAGTCCAAGATGTTTCAACGTACGACTATCATCCCAGCCTTGCGATTCTGTAACTCACTTTTCGAACTCACACACGATTAGGCATTTTACGATTTGGCATTCTGATAAACAAAAAACTACAAGCTCCTTCCCTATCAGAATGCAAAATCATTAAATGACTGCTTCGCGACCGCCGCTACGAAAACCGCTGTGAGAGTTCGAAAAGTGAGTTACAGAATCGCAAGGCTCGATGTCTTTGGTTCGAACGACAAATGTGCACAAATTAACTTTCTGTCTATGTGTGTATGGCGACTTAGACCGAAAAAATACACAGTGTGAAAGCACAGAAGGACCATTAATTTTTCTAATAGGCAAGTAGGTGACTTGAGATAAAATAAATTATCACGAAACAGATACAAAAATCTGAGAGCCAGCCTTAAAGGGTTGTAGACCCATTGGAATTTTTACATGAATTATGACTTGACCTCAGATCTCCAATATATTCCACGAAAATCATTAAAAATATATCAATAATTTTCTATTTACTTATTAATTTAAATACACTATTAAGGAGTCTGAACTGTAATTTAGACATCGTAAAGCCTAGTTCCAGATAAAATTATGAATAAAACCCTACTTTATTTTCAGTGTAAAAACAGAACAAGTACCAGGTGGGGCGGACAGCGTGTTACGCCTCGCAAGAGTAAACAGCAGCGATGCGGGGAACTACACTTGCGCTGTACGAGGGGCGAAGCCACACACTGTCGCTGTTCATGTACTTAATGGTAATGTTCTTAGTCGTAAACTCACGTCACTTGCCTGGCGATCCTGAGTTCGATTCCTGGGGAAACAATTTAATTCACCATGATTGCCAGAAGGCTGAATATATTCTGGTTAAAATTTAACGTGAGTTAAATTCATAAGCAGGAGATTTACTCGTATACTTCACAGTCTAGGTGATATAATATATTAGTTGTTCCTAAGTATAAAGTACCAAAACTTTCAAAGCGATATCCGAAATTGACAAAGGTATTAAGAGTCTGTAGATCCCTTAACTTTACGCGATCAAGTAATTTCATTAAGACTATAAATGCCACTTTATTCGGGATCAAAATCAAATTAACATTTATTTAATCATAAAATATTAATTAATTAAATTGTGAGTGTACATAGCTAATAAGCTAGTTACACTCATGAACACCAATTCCCACACATTGATTGGGGAACTGGTACATGAACTACCAGTTCCCAAAGCAAGGGCGTAGAGCGAGCGAAGTAACTGTCAAGAAACTCCCGGCTACTAATAATCGCCAAGCTTTGTACGAGAAAATTGTTAGGCAACCATTACGCCATGCTTCACTTAACATATTGAAACAAAATATTTAATGTTTTGAATATGTTGTGTGGTTAAAATGATACTGTGATGATATGGCGTTCCATACTACTTTTGTTCCTTACTGAATATCAGGAGACAATCAATATAGAATAAAAATAATTCAGCAAAAGCCACTTCGTTGATTTTTCCACGTACTAATTGCTACTTGAGGCTGAACAAGTCTTTATTTTTCTTCAAAACAAATTATGAGCCGCTTTATCATCATTACGCAAATATAAACACATTCAATTTGTTTAGAAAATAAACAAGCTCTTAGCGAATTGAGGGTAGTTTATGCTAAAGACCTCGATTTTCTTTAATAAGGTTATTCGAGCGTTCTTGCTAACTTGGTAGGAAATTGACTTTACGCCTATCTTTTAATAATCCTGTTTACTGCAAAACTTAGTGAAAAGTTATAACAGTTCATAATTGGTATACTAATTTAATTTTAAACATTTATTTTACTTCCGTCTCTTTATGTAGAACGGAATAAATACTCCTTGACTATTAAAATTACGTACCTGTTTTATGTAACATTTAACAGTGAAATAATCATAGCTAGGTGTTAACATTGCTACTTATATTTTTAAGCTATGATATTTATATTATGAGGCTATTATAATACAAATTTAATGTAAATTAAATGTTTTACAGTATAATATATTTACAAAGCTATATTTAAATTTGAAAAACTAAATTTAGTTTCTCTAACGTATCGCTAGCAATTTGGTTAAAATAAAAGCGTGGTAAAGAACGTGGGATATATTTTAATGTAGTAAAGTAAATAGTTATAATTTATAGTACAAATTATAATAAATAAATAATAAAGTGGGCAACGGACGGCCTTATCGCTTTCGAGTGATTCGTTCCAAGCACCCTTAAGTAACCTGGATAATAAAACCACCATTATGCTCCATCTGTTCCTTAAAACAAATAAATTTAATAAGTATATATTTAAATTATATATTTTTCTTCGTACTAAATATAATAATACATTTCAGCATAACTAATACCATCCTTTGTTTCAGAAGAAAGCCTCGCCGAGTTGCATGCCGGGAACTCCATTCATAAACCAACGAAAATCACTGTTATAGCGTTGCTAATTATAGCAGTTGTTATTTCACAATCACCGTTAGTCGCAGTCACAGTGACATTCGCTGCACTAGCACATAATATAAGGGTCCAAGGCCTATTAAGTGAACAGTTCACGGGAATAATATTGCCTACGTGATAAATGTTGTAAATAATATCGTTTTAAATATTATAACTAGTTTATCGGAAATTAAATTTCATTGTATAAGTTTGTTGTTTTATTTCTCTGTATGTCAAAAATTAAAAAAAATTTACTGTTAGAAATTAAAAATTATAATTAAAAAATTCTACTTGAAGTTATCATAAATTATAAGTGCATTCGGAAGAATGGCTCTGAATCGCTTTTACTTAAAAATTACCTGCCTAAAACTGACAATTTCATAACAATTATATAAAAATAATTTAGTAATTCTATATATTATTTTTAATACACCCACACAAGTATCCTATTACCAACAAGGTACCATTAAATTATGAATGACGGCTTTACATTATATTTAGTTTTAATGATTCACTGATAAATTCAAACAAAATAGAAATAAAGGAGTAGTTATGTTTTCAAACCCAAACATTCTCTAGAATTGTCCTATTTCCTGATTTCCACTAACTCATTTTTCAACGCTAATAAAAGTCTATCCATACACCACTTATCATGTAATCTTGTAAAGGATTTGTTACAAATACGCGGCCTGAATGTTATATGTCGGCTTATCAGTCACATTTTATGGCGGGATGCCCCTAAGTCGGTATCAACTGGGCTTACGAAAATATGTTCGCATGATTATTCTACGTAAATGTTGAATCGGAGGTCCAATTGCGAGCAAAGGACAACTTATGATGGTAGACTGATATTACAAATAGCATTAAGAACCGTCACTAAATCGCATGTTTTTTAAATCCAGTGGTAACTTTTTAACTGGGCCGCAATATTCTTTGTTACGTAATCATTTGTTTTTTTTAAACGAAGGAAGATATCATTCATCGAACGAGGGTTCATTGTGCACATAGACGGAAAGTATCTTCCTCCTCATCAGGGATGAGTCTCGCACGCTGAATCCACTAGGCTGACACTACTCCAACACCAACACTTCTCCTATTTTGTATAAATAAGTCAAATTCTGTATATATCACTGCAAGAATGATAAAGTTTATATATTCTCTACATAAAATTAATTATGTCAGATTTACACGTTTTAAAAATAAGCATTTTGTCATAATTGGACAACCCATATCAAATATGGCAGTCGCTGTAAAGACCCAAGATTCTGTGAATTTAAAAAAATAATAACATTAGTGTAATAATTAAACACATTTAATATATTGTTTTAATAAAGTATTGTTATTTACTTTACTAGATTTAAATGTGCAAAGTTATGTAGGTATGTCAGACCGTACTTGTATCAAATCAAAATCATTTATTCATATAGGTAACACAATGTACACTTATGAACGTTAAAAAAGAAATATACATTAAATGCTTCTACTGCTAGTTCTCAAATCAAGGGCGTAGAACGGGAGAGAAGAATTGGCAATTAACTCTCCGCCACTCTATTTAATCTCTATCTATCTAGAAATATATAAAAGCTACGGCTATATAACGACAGAGGTTTACACTTCACGAATTATTCTCAACGAAATCTATGAATTGTTTAACAATGCTAATCCATACTAATATTATAAAGAGATAAAGTTTGTGAGGTTATACGGGGTAATCTCTAAACTGAACCGAAACCCGAAAAATTAAAAGACTTTTTTTGTGGTAGTCGGATTGGCAAAGTATGTCGGAAACGGTCAAGTTATTAACAGGTCTGTTCACGATAAACTTAAAAACTACTGCACAGAGTTTATTGCGGTTTCACAAATACCTGGAATAATTGATGAGGAAGATTTTAGTATGTCATTTTCCAAGGTTTATTTATGGGTTACGGTTGCCCGTGCAATGCCGGGGCAGTTTTTAGTAATTATATAGCATACAATAACAATTCTACCAATAATTATTATATTTCAAAAAATCGCGGAAAGTATAAACACATAAACTTAGTTTAACCTGCAATTTTAAATCAAAACCGACCTAATACAAGCCAATATATTAAGTTACTATTGTAAATGAAACCCGTTGACGTCATATTAATATATCAAAGCCTATTTATTTAACCTCAATAGATCTGGTTTCCTTTATTAGATAACATATTAGTTTGCACATAGATAATATTAATAGGCAGTAATTATACTATCTACACTGTCAGCTCAACTTAATTATACATATCGAAGCTACGGAGACGTAGGTTACATTATTAACGCCCTCACTATTATTGAATCTCAGGTTTAAATGCATTTAGTATTTTAAAGAAAATGTATTATTTTGAAGTTGTTGTAGTTAGTTTATGACCGTATACTGGTTGACCTTAGACTGGCCGGTAGTTCGGGGGAATCGCTCCCAAGTAGCCTTGAACCACAGTCTTGATTGATCTCTCGGGGTTCACAGTCTTCAACCCCTAGGGCCTATCTTAAGGGCGTGCGGAGCGTTAAGGTGTTTTAAGTGGGTAAGCTCTCTCCAGCCCCACAGACCCACGTCAAGTCCGATAACCGTGAAGTGGGCATGTGTAAGCGCATTATTATCACCTTAAAAATGTAGTCAGTTTATGCAAATATTTAAAAATAAAGGCCAAAATCGATCAAATGTGAGCCTGTATTATTAACAGGTTCAGACGATCTATTTTAAGTATCTATCGATCACATCGTCAGTTTAATTTAAATGTAACGTAGTGTAGAATTCGACTTCATCATTAACTGTAGACAACCCGGCTGTGCTACAATTACACGAACAGGTTGATGAGTAAGAAAATTCATTTCAAAAGTGCGTTAGAAAAGGTAAAAATATATTTATTAGTAGTAAGCATTTTATTAAACTAATTTCAGAACCTCAATGAAACATATACCACGTTTTTTACAAGTTACTTCTTGATAACCGTAACCACGTTTTACGTAGCTTGCGAAACGTAAAAAAATATTCCCAAAACTTTTAAACAATGAACTATTTGAGAAGATTTAAAAAAAATATTAATGAAAGAACCTACAAAAATTGTATGTGTATTTATAGTTCTGTTAAGTATTGGTTAAACATACATTCATAATTTTCATTAATAATACTGTAGCTGCACTCTACGGCACAATCACTGCGATGACGTCAAACGGTAAGAATATATACAATTTTAATTCGCAGCAGGCCCTTAGACGAATCATGCCGTGTTTACCGTAAACAAAGATCATGTTCATTAACATTCTTAATTTACATAAATACTCATATCTTAATATATATAAATCTCGTGTCACAATGTTTGTCCTCAATGGACTCCTAAACTACCGAACCGATATCAATCAAATTTGCACACCATGTGCAGTTCGATCCAATTTGAGAGATAGGATAGTTTAAATCTCAAATTATAGTCGCAATTTTAATTTATTGCAAAATATTTGTTTATTATTTGATACAATTCTAACAGATGGCGCTGTGTTAAAATTATCAACGTTTCACATAAGCTGTCATCTACCTTTCACATAAGTTCTCCTACCGTTTCCCTTGAATAGTTTACTACTATGTAATATAACAAAAATCTTAGCCAGAGCAACGGTTGGCCGAGTCTACTAGTATATTGTATTTCTAAAGTAAACTCTATGTTAGTATTAGGATTAGGTGAATACATTTTATATGATGGTACGTCATCGTCTATTCCTCTAATCTGTGACTGTTTTGTATCACGTGTCTAAAGTTTAAAAAATAATATTATTAACTATGGATATTTTGATAAATTTATGAGTTTTTACACGTTATTTTACTTTATAACGCATCTGTTCACGCCATCCAAGTACCTATGGTCCTCTCTGTTCACACACACACGGTATTTCTTGCCATAATCAAGAGAAGAGTAGGGGACTCCCGCGCGCAGGGAAGACGCAACCGCCGACGCGTGGTTACGCTTCTTGTTGCTTTTACGCTTATGCTTACACTTTTGTTTGTGGTCTTCTCCCACGGAGACAAGTGAAGAGACAGAGGCCTAACGGTGAGTGGTGTAATCATATTTTTACGCCGCTTCCATTTGCCCCTCTACTTCGCCGCTACACCATGTTTCATACGAATTACTTTCAATTATTATTATTATTATACTATACAAATGTGTGATGAATAAATAAAAACTAATAATCACTAGTCAATCACTACTATTCAATATTTATTTACGGCATAGGATGGTAATAGATATAGAGCTGTGTTGTCCTAATTGTTCACAGTTGCAATGGATTTTTCTATGTTCGCAAATAAAAGTTCCTACAACTATGGCGCTACAGGTATGGCAGATATCGTGAGGAAACAAACATGTCTTGAAACCCCAAAAATATACACGTGTCAGATACAGAAGGCCGATCGCCTATTTATCTATGAAAAAAGATCAAAGAAACGCATGTGAAGGATTTGCCAAGACCCAAGCGTGGATTTCTTTTTATAGAACAACTGGCAGGAGGCTCGGCTTATAAGGATTATAACAAAACAAATTTTTCAGGTTTCTTCATATTGACTAAATAAATATTAGTTAAAAAACTTCGTAGCATACGCCGATAATTAGGTTACAATAATCAAAATTATCGCATTCCGTGAATGAAGTTATACTATAAAAGGAATTTTGACGTTTCAACGTCTTATAATTCGATGGAGCCGGCTGCACGCACGAAAAAACATGACGCATGCGGCGTTACCTTATTTAAGGCTTGAAGTGCAAGCGAGAGCGCGGAACGAGCGACAAAGAGCTCCGCGTTCCGCAGCGTTCGACATCTGTCTCCTACTTGAGTGAGCGATGCGTCCGCGTGGACAGCTGCTATACAATAATACATTTACATGTTTCCGTCAAGTATGAAGTGCGGTGTTTTCAGTATTTTCTTATGACGTTGTCACGTTCAACTATCGTCTGTAAACCGACTTTACAGACAATCGATTTTTTTTATTGTACTTGAATTGTATTGGACATGAAATTATTATTGTTAACTGTAAATACATAAACCCTCAATTATAACCCTTCAACTTGTCACTTAACGAAATACACTCTACAAAATTAGAATTATACTTATATAGCTAAAAAGGATTTTTTA